GCTCTGTACCTCCTCATTGCCTGTTGCATCGACAGACTGGGTCCTCATATACTTAGGCAGCTCCCCACCACCACATACTTTTCTCATGGGCATGGAAAGCAGGCATCAGAAAGGAGGGAAGCTGCCCAGGGGTCCTAGGAGAGGGTAGGGAGGGCATGGTCAGGGTGGTAGCCTGCCTCTGGGTGCCAGCCCCTGACTTGGGTTTCTCTGCTTCTCCTTCCCGCTACTGGGCTGCTTCCTGCCCCACAGCATTCCTGCCTGCCAGGTGCCATAGGGAGGGAGGGAAGGTACCCACCTGCACGGGGTCCTTTCCGGCATAGTAACTGGTTGTCATCCTCCACCCCTCCCTGCATGTACCTTCCTGGCAGAGGCAAGGTGCTCAGGTTGGTGATGGCTGGCTGGCACTGAGCATGCAGTTGTGGCCCATTTCTGTTTGGTGTGTGGCATTCAGAAGGTCCTTCTTTTTTTCCTGGACATGCCCCGACCCTCTTCAGCCATCCCTCAGGCTAGCCTCAGTTCAATGACTGTTGGGGTTTGCAGGACCAGTGTGGGCCTTGAAAGGAGTTCTGTCCTAGGAGTTGAGAGACCTGCCACCCATCACCTTGTCTTCTCTGGGCCTCAATTTTCTCAGCTGTGAAATGGGGGTTGGATAATATGGTCTTCAGAGTCTCTCCCTGGGCTACATTTTATGCTGTTTCTCAATTTAAACCACGGAGCCACAGCTGCAAGGTCCTGGCTGTGGCACTGGAGTTGGGCTCAGCAGATGGGGGTGGAGGGAGGTGTTCCAGCCAAGGATCATCCTTTCCACCCTGTCATTGTGCCTTCTGGTGTTTTCAGAAAGCAAGTGACAACCCTTGTTTTTCTCTGTGTTCCCTTGTCAGACCTGTAATCTTGTGTATCTCAACGAACCCGTGTTTGCTGCTTGATAGTATGTTGCAGAGTTCTCGTGGCAGGCTGTCTTCTCTCTGCTGTGGCCAGCATGGTGGGCATCAGGGCCGACCCCAGCTACCCCAGACAGGGCAGTGTGTTCTGGAACACCCGTTGTTGGTATTGAAACTCAGGCTCAGTCTTTCTCGTTTCCATTAAGACTAAGGTGGCAGAGGTGGGTCTGGGCCCCCCGCATCCCTGGAAGTTTGTGATGTGGTTGAGGGTGAGTCTCCTCTACATTTTCTTCGCTTGACATGTGTCACCTGGAAGGACAGAGATGGACCTGCTGGCCATCACCTCCTGTGCAGGAGGAAGCAGTGGTGAATGCTGCTGTGCTATTGACTGGTATTTTTGGTGAGGACTGGAAGCCATTTTGATGCCAGGATCTTCATTTTACCTTCAGATAAAATGTTTCCTCTTTAATTCTCTGAAGAAAATTGAAAAAAACTAGTGGAGTGTTTTAAGTGTAATTAAAGGAAAGGCAGTGGTTTCTGGATCCTGCTGTTACTGCCTTGACTGCTCCTGCCCTTTTGCCAACTTCCTCTCCCCACATAGTATCAAAATGTGTCAGAAATCTGTTTCCCCCTTTAGCTTTCTGTTGTGGCCTGCACCCAGTGAAGCAAACATGGAACAGTTATTCCCATTTTACAGAAGAGAAGTCTGAGATGTGGTGAGGTTAAGTGACTCATGTGCAGACATGGCCTAGTCGCAACCCATTCGGGAGCATCAGGACTCCAAGTGCCTAGTTTGTTTGTCCGTACGATTTCCCCCCCGGAACTCACCCTTAGACCCTGTGACTAGGAAGACCAGGCCTCCATAGCTTCTGAAGGGTAAAAAAGGGAAGTCGCGGGGGTGGAGGGGGAAGCTCAGTAGATGCGAGAGTTACTTATTCCAAAGAGAGTCAGGAAGGGGAGTGAGTCAGTGTTTCCTCGACCCGTGTTTGCTGCGTGGCAGTGTGGATCTGAATGTTGGTCAGGCTATTGGGGGAGCCGGGATCGTGTCTGCGCAAGTGGCCCCAGGCATGGGACACCACCTTCGTGTGGGATGGATGCCTCGCTAGGACCTTAGGTTGGTCAGTTGTCCCTCTTGAAGGTGTTGCACTTTCAGAAGAGATAGCACAGCATCACGGTTGAGATTAGAGATTCCTTTGCTCTACCTGGGTTTGAGTCCTGGCTGTGCCACTTCCTGGCTGTGTGACTGTGGACAAGTTGCTTCTCCTGTCTGTGCTGGAGTTTACTCCTCTGTTCTGATTGTGGAGTACACAGTGTTGTAAGGAGAGTGCTGTTCCTTCCATCCAGCCCTCCGTCCCACTCTGGCTCATGACTGTGTGTGCCTGTGTGCATGTGCACACGTGTGTGTGGCAGCCTCTGGAGTCTGCATTTCTAGCTGGCCTACAGAGCCCCCCAGGCAGCCATAAGCTTGTCAGGCTGGAGCTGTGCGTCCATCTGCAGGTGGCATGTATGTCTCAGGATGGCTGTCGGTGGGCTCCTTTGTGGAGAGGCCTGGGAGAGAAGGAGCCGGAGTGCACACTGTGTACTCTCAGCATCATGTGCCCCAGATCCCCTGAGGCCTGGGGGCACTGGCAGGTAGCAGAGTCTCTGACCAGGGAGAGAACAGGGAGCAGCTGTCTGGTCTGCTCAGGCTGTTGTGATAGGATCCCACAGATTGAGTGGTGTGAACAATAGCGATTGCCTTCTTACTGTTGTGGAGGCTGAAAGTGAAGGTCAGGTGCCACGGGGCTGAGTTCCAGTACAGGCCCTCTTCCTGGTCTGTAGACAGCCACTGTCTCGCCGTGTGTTGTGTGACCTTTCCTCAGTGTGTGCAGGCCGGGGGATATTTTCCTCCTCTTCTAAGGCTGCCAGTTCTATCTGGTTAGGACCTACCCTTATGACCTCATGTAGCCTGAGTGATCTCCTAAAAGCCCTGTCTCCAAACAGCCACATGAGTTGAGGGCTTCACCCTAGGAATCGGGGGTGCTCTGCTCAGTCGGTAGCACCAGCCCTCCTTGTCTAGAGCCACACTGGCCTCCTCTCAGTTTGCGAGGCAATGTTGGCTCCTCCCATACATGGGGACCCTTGGGTCTCTGCCTCCCTACTGGCTGGGATTTGGGGTGGAGGGTATGAAGAAATTGCAGCAGGGACTGACATGCTGCAGTGCTGCCTGTTTTATTAGGGAGTGAAGTCCAGGGAAGCACAGTGGGTGCATTCTCACCACCCTCCTTGCCAGCTCACAGAGTGATGGACACCTTTCAGTCCTCACTGGAACACATTGAGTGATGGCTAGAGTGTGGGTGGACCAGCAGGCCTCTCAGCTGCAGCCACCCACTTTGGCACCCACGGGCTGGGTGATGTGCCTACCAAGGGCGGCTTGTTCCCAGACACACTTGTACAGTTGCAGCTGGTATTGTAGTTAAGTGATGTATCCAGATATCAGTTGTTTTTTTTTTCTTGAGTTGGACTCTCACTCAGTAGCCCAGACTGGAGTACCGTGGCACGCTCCCGGCCACTGCAGCCTCGCCTGCTGGGCTCCATCGATCCTTCTGCCTCAGACTTCCAAGTAGCTTGAACTACAGGCGCGCGCCACCATGCCCGGCTAATTTTTTTGATTTATTGTAGAGATGAGGTCTCGCCAAGTTGCCCAGGCGGGTCTCGAACCCACGGGCTCAGGCAATTCATTCACCTCAGCCTCCCAAAGCGCGGGATTACAGGCTGAGCCACTGAGCCTGGTCCAGATATCAGTTAAGCTGATGAAATAGAACTGCAAATGGAGTGATCTCCTTTTCCTGTTTTTAAATGAACACTAGTTAAAAGCTTTGGGTGGCTCATGCTTTGGGAGGCTAAAGTGGAAGGATCATTTGAGACCAGGAGTTGGAGACCAGCTTGGGCAACACAGCGAGATCCTATCTCCTACAAAAAATAGAAAACTTAGCCAGACATGGTGGCACATACCAGTAGTCCCAGTCCTAGCGACTCCGATGGCTGAGGTGACAGGATTGCTTGAGGCCAGGAGTTCAAGGCTACAGTGAGCCAGCCACTGCACTCCAGCCGGGGCAATAGAGGAAGGCCCAATCTATTAAAAAAAAAAAGAGAGAAAAACAAAAGACTCAGTAAGTTGGAAAGACTCAGTAAGTTGAAGTCACTGATCAGATGAGTCTAAGATTATTGAGCATTGGCATTGGGGGAAATCACAACCCTTGAAGTTTTGATGCTGTGTCTGCGTTTTTACTCCCCTTTAAAGAATCAGGAAGAAGAAGTCATAGACAATGGATTATGTTCCGGTTCACGTAAGAGAGATAGTGTAGACCTCCTCCCAGTGGACCTCACATGAAGGGCCTTGCTTTGCACTAAAGAATGGGTGAATGACAGGCCACAGTGTATTGTCTATTTTAAATGAGTTAAAAGAGTGGAATTGGAGTGTTCCCAACATGAAGAAATGAGGAGTGCTTGAGGTGTTGGGTGCCCCACTCACCTGACATGATCGTCACACATTGTATGCCTGGATACACAGTCAGTGTATTCTGTAAATACACGTACCTACTATGTACCTGTATACCAAAAAATTACATTTAAAAAATGAGTGAATGAATGCATATCTATATGCATTGTGCAAAAATAAGACTTTTTGGTGTATCGTTTTTATGCTTCTTTGCTTTGAGTTCCTGGGCCTTGATTACACTGGAAATAGGGTTTCTCCGGTTGTGATTCAGTTTAAAGTTGATTTGGTTCCTGTTTAGTGGATTTAGGGAATTTTATTTTGTATATGGTGTAAATGTAATAAAACCATTAGTGGGGCTTTTAAAACTGGAATTACAAGGCACATGGAGTTGGCTCATCTGGATTGTAATAGGCTCTTGGGTTCCTCTTGTGGACAGCAGTGTATTGAGTGACAAAGACCCGGTCCCTCACTTCACAAGTGAGGAGCCCGGAGCCCTGAGCGTGAAGCGGGTGGAGCTGCGGTGGGGAACGCTCTCCTAGTTCCTCCATGGATCCTTCCAGCGGGAGCTCTCTACACGGGAGTATGTATCTGGGTGGACTTGTGGTGATGGTGCTGACCTGTGCTCCCTTTTGGGACAGGACCAACTTGGAGGCCTTGCAGAAGAAGCTGGAGGAGCTGGAGTTAGATGAGCAGCAACGGAAGCGCCTGGAGGCCTTTCTCACCCAGAAGCAGAAGGTGGGAGAGCTAAAGGATGATGACTTCGAGAAGATCAGCGAGCTGGGAGCTGGCAATGGTGGTGTGGTGTTCAAGGTCTCCCACAAGCCCTCCGGCCTGGTCATGGCCAGGAAGGTGAGTTTGCCTTGACTGGCAGGTCATTGAATTACCTTGGGGAGACCTGGAGATCTGGGGACAGGGGCAGAAGGAAGGCTTGCTTCCCTTGGTGCCTTCTGTGCTGTTTGAATACTGAGCTCAGGCTATCTATCAGATTATGGACACACACACTGAGGGTCAGCGTGTGACCCTATCCCCAGCCTGAAAACAACACACGCGACTTTCCTGTTGCTTTCTGGTGCTGGGGAAGGGTACCAGGTGCCTGGTGTTCTTTGTCATGTGCCGCAGAAGCTGTTTCCACTCGCGCAGCCCTGGCCACACGCAAAACACTGACTCAGGGTACCCTGTGCTCAGTCCTGTATAGTTCCCGTTGCCCCCTGGAGTGTGGAGTATGAGTGCCCACCATGGCGTGCAGTCTTGGGCTGGACTTGCCTTCCTGTCTTCCCTTAGTCCCCGCACAGCATGGGCCCTGCTCCAGAGAGGTTGGGCTCCTCTGTGTTTCTCTGCACAGTGTTTGTTCCCATGCCTATGTTTTTGCTTGTGCTATTCCTTCCATCTTTTTTTTGTCTTTTCTGAGTCAGAGTCTTACTCTTTTGCCCAGGCTGGAATGTAGTGGCACAATCATGGCTCACCACAGCCTCGACTTCCTGGACTTAGGCAGTCCTTTCACCTCAGCCTCCAGAGTAGCTGGGACTATAGGCGTGCACCACCACACCCAGCTAAGTTTTAAATTTTTCTCTTTTGAGTCAGAGTCTCACTCTGTCACCCAGGTGGGAGTACAGTCGCACAATCATGGCTCCTGCAGCCTTGACCTCCTGGGCTCAGGTGATCTTTCCACCTTAGCCTTCTAAGTAGCTGGGACTACAGGTACGTGCCACACAATGCCGGCTAATTTTTTGGTTTATTACAAAAGTGGCCAAGGTCGGTCTTGAAACCCTGGACTCAGGTAGTCCTCTTGCCTTGGCCCCTCAAAGTGCTGGGAATACAGGTGTGAGCCACCGTGCCCTGGCCCCTGCCGTCTTTACAGCAGTGCCCATCTTCAAGATTCATTCATCAGCTGTGCCACACTGATAACTGCTGCTTCCATGCATAGCACTCCCTGTCTGTGGCATTTTTAGAAGCTCAGCCTTATTAGGTTGCTTTTAAATGGCTGTCACGTGTCTTCCCTTCTGCAACATGGGAAAGTGCTAGGGTGACATGACATAGCACCTGAGATACTGGCTCCATGTCAGCCACACCAGGTTCCTGAGCATGGGAGGAGCCTCCCAGGTTAGCAACCTCCATTCCTTCTACCTTCTTTGCCCATAACCCTCGAGCGGGAGCACGTCCTCTAGGTCCGTTTCTCTTCCTTTCGACTCCAGAGGTCTTTTTGCAGTAAGTCCTCCATTTGTCTTTGTCTCCAGGCTTGGCTCCCAGGAGCTGAGGCTCAGCCAGCCCCTCCTGGATACATTCTTCTTGCCATTGCCTGCCTGCCTGCAGGGACACTCAGTCCTTTGATTGTTACAGCTCACCTGTTCCTCCTCCCCTACAGTTAAGAGCTTAAACATGTAGGAAAAGGTTCATCTATCTTCCTTCCCTCCCTTCTTCCACATAACCTTTCTTCCTTCCTTTCTTCCCAGCTGATTCACCTGGAGATCAAACCAGCAATCCGGAACCAGATCATAAGGGAGCTCCAGGTCCTGCACGAGTGCAACTCTCCATATATCGTGGGCTTCTATGGTGCCTTCTACAGCGATGGGGAGATCAGCATCTGCATGGAGCACATGGTAGGGGCAACCTCTTGGCCCTGGAACACCAGCCTGGGATCTGGGTGGCTCTGGCCTGGGTTTCGGTCTGGGAGGTTCCCGCTGCCTCCCTCTGCTCCCTGCATCCATGTCACTGTCTTTGGCCTCTGGGAAGGCCGACTGTGGAGCTAGAATATTCACAAGGCAGTAGGCCTCCTTTTAGGGCCCTACCTTTCTTCAGAGAGGTGGAAGGATCCTTTGTGGGTATAATAAGAGCATGTCTCCCAATTTTTCTTATCTAGAGGACCCTGAGATTTTGCTGTGGGTAAAATCTGGTTCATATAATTTGCATCCTTTTTCTTGAGCTGGGGTCTCACTCTGTTGTCCAGGTTGGAGTACAGTGGCATGATCATGGCTGGACCTCCTGGGCTCAGGTGATTCTCCTGCCTCTACCTCCCAAGTAGCTGGGAATACAGGTGTGCACCACCATGCCTAGCTAGTATTGTTATTTTTTGTAGAGATGAAGTCTTGCTATGTTGCCCAGGCTGGTCTTGAATTCCTGGGCTTGGAAGTGATCCTCCCACCTCAGTCTCCAAAAGCTCTGGAGTTACAGGTGTGAACCATTGTGCCTGGCCCATCCATTCCTTGTATACGATGCTGTGTGCTGGGTGCAGGGTTCTGGCATCATGAAGATCAGTGAGATAGTCCTTCCTCTCAGAGCTTGTAATCAACTTTAAGGGAAACATGGTGGCTTTCTTTGGGTATGAAGAGAAGTGATCTCACCTGATACACATTAGTGGCAGGAAAGGAGAAATGAGAGGGCATTTGTGGGCTGGTTACCTGTCCATGGTCTGCTGTGCTTTCATCATTGGGTGTTTGGAGTCCCTTCTTTCTCTTTCCAGTGACTGACAGTGATAACAACCAGAGCAGTAATAATGTTAGAACTAGTAATGGTAAAGCAATATTTATTACATGTATATGATATCAGGCACCATCCTAAGCAAATTATATATTATTGCATTTTCAAGACAACCTTTTTGGATGGACACATTGTCGCCACTTGACAAATGAGGAAACTGAGGCATGAAGACATTCGATAACTTACCCTAGGTCATGCAGCTGGTCAGTGATAGAATTTAAGCTGGGGCAGTCTGACCCCCCAGTGCCTATACTTTGTTGACTCCACAGGGGAATTAGGGAATTGGGACCTTCTTTCCATCCTTGGCGTCTGGAACTTCTGTGTCGTTAACATTTCTTCCCAACACTTTATTATGAAAAACTTCCAGCTTACCAACAATTGACAGCTCTGCCCTGTGTACTCATAAACCCCCCTCCCCCGGGACTGTGCAGCCACATCCCTTGTACAGACTTGACCACATACTGACTGTCCACCCATTGCTCAGGTCTTTTTTGGATGCATTTTCAAGTAAACCCATGTCACCAGCATTCAGCAAGAACCATCTTCTAAAGCACTCAGATAGGGCCGACTTTTCCTGGAAATCAGCTATGTGTGCTCTGCCCAGTCTGCATGTCCAGACCCAAGGGAAGTGAACACTGCCTGAGAGAACCAGAGCATTGTTGTCCTGGGGAAGTAGGTTTCTGCTTGGTGGTCGCTGAGCAACCAGAGAACTGGGGACTCGGCGCCAGTGGTTCTCATGCAGGAATAAAAGCTTTTGAGCTGGTATTTTCATACAGCATTTGACTTTTCCATAGAAAACCTTCACAAAAGCACCAATGACTTGGTTAATAATTGCCTTCTAAAAATAAGCACAATTTCAGCAGTTTTAGTCAGTGATGGCAAGTTTTCAGCAGCAGTGAAGTGGGATGAGGCGGTTGCAGAGCAGGTTGCAGGCAGCCTTGGGCGGTCCTGACTGGCTCCTGCCCCTGAGTGTTGTGATTCCATTGTCCTGCTGTAACCTTGGAGCTTGTGCTTAGTAAAGGTTAAAGGGAAGAAAACTGGCATTTCTTCCTTCGTCATGGAAACATCTACCTTTCCACCCCCAGGGAAGGTGTAGCCCTAGGCTGCTGTTGCAGTCTCTGGAGAGGTGGTGCTGTCCATGGCTGAGCGAGGACGGAGCCTGAGAGTATAAGTCAACTTTCCTGCCTCATTTGAATCTGGTTTTGACAGTGGCTTTGCTCTCTTGTTTTAAGTATGTAGTTCTCCCTGATCAGTAGGCAAAGCCATTCTGACAAAGAAACGATATTTAGTTGCAGTAAAACTAAAAACAGCTTGGGTACTTTCTGCACGAGAATGCCTCTTCTCATAAGTAAAGGCTTTTTTTCTTTTTCTTTTTTTTTTTTTTAAGTTGGGAACCTCTGTCGCCCAAGCTGGAGTGCCATGGCACAATCATAGCTTGCTGCAGCCTCTACCTCCTGGGCTCAGGCGATCCTCCCACCTCAGCCTCCTGAGTAGCTGGGACTACAGATGTGAGCCACTGTGCCTGGCCTAGCAAAGGCAGTTGAGAGGTGCTGTGGTGTTTCTAGGAGCTGATGATGTGGTTGTGGCTCCCTGGGCTGTGGCAGTGTCCTGATGTGGCCACAGAGGGCCTGTGGTGCCATGAAGGATTGGTCTGGATGCCCGCATCTCAGCCTGGGTCCCAGCCTGCATAGGGCTCTTCGAGGGCACTTGAAATGTGTGTGCTTCCAGGCACATCCTGTGTGGCTTTAGATTCACAATTTGACTCTCCTGTCTGTGTGGAGGTTATTGTGACACACTTGAAATTTTAGGTTGTATTTCAGAGTTCTCCCATCTCCTGTGCTCCTTGGTGGACTCACCCACCAGCAGGCAGTTGTGCTCTGGAGTTTCTGCTGATCAGAAGGTTCATGTGCAGAGTGTCTGTGTGCTGGTGAAGCTCCCTGCGTTTGAGAATCTGCCCGGCACCAGTTTTCTTTCTGTTAGCATGGGCGATCCACAGTTGACCATGACGGAAGTGGATTAGTCCAGGCTATTCTTTTAAGTTGATAGTCTACTTTTAGTATTGTTTCAGGTAATATTTCTTGGGAGATCTGTATCCTTGAATGAGTTTACTTATATCCTTACAACCAGAAAAAAGTGGTATTGTGTCTACCTAACAGTGCTTAGTATTTGTTAATTGATTTATGGATTTAATTCTCTGTTTTCATAAATGAGTTCAGTAATTAAAAAGGTAAAACATTCATTCATTGTAGAAAACTTATAAACAATAGAAAAGCACCAAGAAGAAACAATTACATGATACAAACCTGAGACCCTTCCTGCCTGGCCTGGAGGTGACCCATGTTGACGTGCTGGGTTTTGTTGGTGTGAGCATGCACACCCTATCTTGCTTTGCGAAACTGGGCTGTGCTCTGTCCATTTGTTCACCATGTGCTGTTTGGTGAGCTTGCTTTCTTTCCATGGTGGCGTCATGTGGATGGGGCAGGGCTCTGGGGTGCATGTCTGTGGTCCAGGTTCGCCCACTCTGAGACCTCCTGTGTCCCTCCTGTTGCCTTTCTGGTAGCAGCTTTCTCTGAGCGTCACAGCATTCTCTGTCCTCTGGTTCCCTGGGGGCTGTCGCCTGCTTGTAAGAAGGATTGCTGGTGCCTGACCTTGGTTGTTCTGTCTCCCGCACAGAGGGTGTATGCTGCCTGTGTCCTGTGACTTTGATCCTTGGCCCTCACACATCCTTCTGCCTTCTATATAGCCATTGGATGAGTGACAGAGAATGATGGCGACTACTCTGTGGAGACAGAGTGCTTAGAACATCCGTGAGGCCTCAGGACTTCTCTTACCCTACCCCCTCAGGTCACTGGCTCTACCTGAAGCCATAGGGCATGGCCCTGTTTCTGCCCTCCTGCTTCAGGGTCCTCTGGTGGAGTGTTTCTTGAGAATCCCAGTGAAACATAGATACCAGGAGTAGGATCCTGGCATGGGAGCCTGCATAGCCGGCTTCATACTGCCCTGCGTGCCCTTCATGCTGTCCCTTGCCACTGCCTCTGCCCAGGCCCCACTCATGTTGTCTTCCAGTCATCTCACAGTCATCTTCCCACCAGCCTTTCTGCCACTGGAGTCTTGTTTCTTTCCCTCAGCTGCTTGGATTCTCCTCTTCAAAAACCTGGGGTGGATTCCTTTACTTCTGCCTCTGTAAAGTCATGTCCTGGATCCTAGGTGGGGCTTTGGTCTGACCAGTCACTGCATCTTTCATGCACTGGCAGTGAAGGGACCACAGCATCCCGGAGTGCTCAGCAGTGTAATGCTTCTCTGCCTCTGATCTCATTGAAATGCCCTGTGCCACCGAGCACAGTGACTCATGCCTGGAATCCCAGCACTTTGGGAGGCACAGGCAAGAGGATTGCTTGAACCCAGGGGCTACAGACCATCCTGGGCAACTTGGTGAGACCTTGTCTCTACAATAAATAAATAAATAAATAATTAGCTGGGCATGGTGGTGCACACCTGTTTTTCCAACTACTTGGAAGGCTGAGGCCGAAGGATTGCCTGGACCCAGTAGGCCAAGGCTGTGGTGGTGAGTATGCCACTGTACTCTAGCCTGGGTGACAGAGTGAGGCTCTGACTCAAAAATATTAAGAAATACCCTGTGCTTCCCCCCCGACTCCCCCTTTCCAGGCATAGAACTCACACTCACACTTGGGGTAATACTCTGCTCAGACACCATTATGCCTTCCTGTTCTGTGTGTCTCTATTACTTACACATTTATGACTGTTATATTCTGTTGAATTGTATATTTCCCCATTAGTTAATAAATTAACTGGGGCAGATAATACCCCTGTGATGAGTATAGTAGCCTTATGATTATCATCCTCATTTTACTCAGTCAAGGTTCCCTAGGTAGGAAGCAGCAGAGCTGGGCTCACATGTGGTAGCTCCCTCAGGAACCTGCACTCCAACCCTGCACAGTGTGGTCAGGGCAGTGCCAGTCAGGCCTTTTTATGTGACCACTGAATTGGTCATTTGTTTAATGGTTTACAGGATTCAAGTTGCTTGCGATTTGACACCCCCTACAGTGTTTCATGGTCTTGTCACATTTGATGTGTGGAGTAAGTGGGTGCTTTTCCATCCCCTTCAGAGAGAGCTTGCTGAGACTTCCTGAACCTCCTGCAAGGCCACTCTTGAAAGAATAGTGAGAAAACATTGTCACTAAACAGCCTGATGTTCTTGTTCTTAGGATGGAGGTTCCTTGGATCAAGTCCTGAAGAAAGCTGGGAGAATTCCTGAACAAATTTTAGGAAAAGTTAGCATTGCTGTGAGTATGTTATGAAGTGTTTTGCCCAAATTTCTTATTGATATGTTAATGAGTTGATAGAAAATGGACAAGGAAGAAGGCAGGAAGTCAGTCAAGGAAAAGTTTATAAGAACAGCAGTGCTTTATCACTAGAATCTTCCCTGCCTAGAATCCCTGCCTACAATACTCTCTCTCCTCTTAGTAGAATAAGAAAAGTAACTTTCTTTATATTAAAATCTGAAAAATAGGGCAAAGCATCCAAGAACATTCCCATTCGCGGCATCAGAAGGCTGCTTTTTTAGCTTGCAGATTTAGAAAAACATGCATTCAAGGATCGTGTTTTTAAAAAATTATTTAAACTTTAATAACCAGTTTTACTTAAAAATAACACTTTGTACCATGTGCAAAGAAGGTTGCTTGATAAGGCATGTTAAAAAAAATGAAACAAAAGAAGGATTAAGGGAGGAAGGCAAATCTGTTAGATGAGATATTTTCCAGGTCGTTTTAAAATGGGAGATGGGGTCTTTTTCTAGAAACCCGGCTTTTGACGTTCCCTTTCTTCTAGGTAATAAAAGGCCTGACGTATCTGAGGGAGAAGCACAAAATTATGCACAGAGGTAAGAAATTACCTGCTGGTTGTTACATTTTGAATTTTAGTGAAATCCAAAGACTGTTGCTTCCTCTCTTTTTTTTTTTCTTTTTAGCCCAGTTTTGTTGTTGTTTAGAGATGGGGGTCTCACTCTATTGTCCAGGCAGGAGTGCAGTGGTATGGTTATGGGTCACCACACCCTAGACCTCCTTGGCTCAGGTGATCTTCTCTCCTCGGCCTCCCAAAGTGCTGGGATTATAGGCATGAGCCACTGTGCCTGGCCATAAAATCTTTATTATAAGTCTTTGTTTAGTTTGATGGCTGGGGCAGCAAGTCTCCTCATCCTCTTTTTGGTCTTGGTTCACCTGTTACCTGAAGCTGTAATGGACATAGTCACCCTGGAAGCCCAGGCTAAGAGACTCAACCAGAGTTTAGCTGCCTAACCCCTAGTGTCACTGTCACTGTCTGTGAGACTAGGTTATACATCAGTCTAAAGCCATCACTGACCAGCTGCTTATGAATTTTTTTTTTTTAAGTTGGAGTCTCACTCTGTCACCCAGACTGGAGTGCAGTGACTGCTCCTGGCCACCGCAGCCTCAACCTGCTGGGCTCCGGCAATCCACTTGAACCTGCGAGCTCAGGCAATCCACTCACCTCGGCCTCCCAAAGCGCGGGATTACAGGCTGAGCCACTGAGCCCGGCTAGGACCTTGTCTCTACAATAAACAAAAAATTAGTGGGCTGTGATAGTGTGCACCTATAGTTCCAGCTACTTGGAAGGCTGAGGTGGAAGGATTGCTGGAGTCCAGCAGATCAACGCTGGGGTGGCCATGAGTGTGCCACTGCACTCCAGCCTAGATGACAGAGTGAGACTCCAACTCAAAAAATAATAATAACAAAAAAATCTCCCTCTGGTTTCTTTTAGTAAAGGTACACATAACATCTATCATAGGGTCATACTACTGTTGGGTATTTATACAAGATAAATGAAATATACTCAGACTTGTACACAAATAGAAAGCAGCTATTTCTGGTAGCAGCAACTGAAATGTCCTTCAGCAGGCAAAAGGATGAACAAATTGTAGGATATTTGTACAGTAGAACACTGCTCAACAACAAAAATGAACAGGCTACTGATACATATGACTTGGATGAATCTCAACAGCATGCTGGGTATAAGAAGCCAGACACTAAACAATTCCAGCTATAAATAGGGAATTGTAGAGAAGACAGCCACAAAACCATGAGGACAGAAGTAGATCAGTGGTTGCCTGAGGTCTAGGGAGAGATTAGCTTCAAAGGGGCATGAGGGAGCTTTTTAGGGTGATGGAATTGTGCCCTCTTGATAATGGCGATGTACACATGGGAATATGCATTTATTGAAAGTCAGACTGTTCACTGAGGTGGCTGCTTTTATAGTATGTAAACTATACCTCAGTAAAGTTGATTTTAAAAAAAGTGAAGAAGCCAGAGGAAAGAGCCTTGGACAGTATAGTGCCATTGACTACATTCCTTCAGCTGTAGCACTGCTCACAGTCACAGGGCGAGGAGGAGCCAGCAGACTAGGCGGGACAGTGGAACTGACCAGCCAGCTTGCATAGCTCAGGTGATCAGTTCTACCTGTGAGTGAGCTGAGCTGAGGTACGTCCACTTCAACAAGGTGACTCATGGCTCCATTTCTGAATCTCTTTTTGTTAGTTCAGCTTCTCCCACATACTGCTCTTTTAGGTCTTCCATTAGAGCTCATTTAGTTGGAATAGTATATACCAAATGGTAGAGCGCAGTTCTGATTTAGTAGACCTGGGGTGAGGAATCTGAACATTTTTAAATTGACACTTTTAAAAAAATTACAGGCTTTTAAAAATTGTAACCGTACATACATAGAAATGTACCGTTTCCCCCACTGTTCAGTGGTATAAGCACATTCACACTCTTTTGCAGCCATCACCACCATTCATCTCCAGAACTTTTCCATCTTACAGAACTGAAACTCTGGATCCATTCAGCAACTCTGTGTTCCCCCTTTCTCAGCCACGGAAGCCACCATTCTGCTTTCTGTCTGTGTGAATTTGCCTACTCTAGGGAACTATCTACGTGGCTTCCTACAGTACCTGACTTTTGTGACTGGCTTATTTCATTCAGCCTCATGTCTTCAAGGTCCGTGCATGTTGGAGATGTGAGACCTGGGTTTTAAGTCAGCTCTGGCTCTGAGACTATCATCTGTCGCCACACTTTGAGAACCACTGTAGTGGGGATAGAGCAAACAGCTGTGGGCTGTCTAGAAAGAGTAATGGCAGCTCCTCCCCCAAGGGTCTTCTGGGGAGAAAAGATGAAGAAAGTAAAGCATAGGGAGGGATGTTGTATAAAGGTTCCCTCTCATTCCTGGGAAAATTTTTCAAAGTATTGAAAGGTTTCTGTCCAAGGCAGCCTTGCAGGTAGAATTTGCATGGCCAACTTGCAGTTTGTGCATATGGCTCTATTTTGAGTATCTGTTAATTTCAACCTTGGCCATCACATGCATTGTTGGGGACTAAAGGTTATCTGACAGAAACAGAAGAAACTCAAAAGAGAACCAATGTTTAAGCTGGGCATGGCAACTCATACCTGTACTCCCAGCACTTTGGGAGGCAGAGGCGGGAGGATCACTTGAACTTAGGAGTTTGAGACCAGCCTGGGTAACATAATGAGACCTGGCTACTAAAAAAAAATAAAAAATTTAGCCAGGCATGGTGGCATGTGCCAGTAGTCCCAGCTACTTGGGAGGCTGAGGTCTAAGGATCACCTTAGCCCAGGAGGTTGAGGCTTTGGTGAACTTTGATCACGCCACTGCACTCCTGCCTGAGCAACAGATACCCAACTCAAATAAACAAAAAACCTGTTGTTTAAAAAGGAAAACCAGAGTTCTGAGTCTGAAATGCTTCAGAGTTACTGGTGTCAGACTTGCCCTCTCACCATACCTAGCTATAAAACTGGAGGCAGCTTGTGAGACTCTGAACAACAGCTAGGGCAGGACTGTGACCTGTGAGGGATAGATAGATGGTGACCCCATGGTGCCCTGGCTCCCAGCCTGGAGATGCTTTGTTCATCCCATTGAGTCTGTTCAGAATGGAAAGGCATAAACACCTGGGGAAGCTCAACAGAGACCTCCGAGGAGTCACCTTAGTTACTAGTAGGACTAGACCAACTTTAGGGAGAAGTTTTTAAAACTTGTCAATAAAATCTAAACACAGAGCTCTGAAGGATCAGGCTAGTCTGCAGATTCCTCACTAGCATGCCAGACCAAGTTTAACACTTGAAGACAAATCCAAATGCTCACGTTCAGTGCCCTCCATCTAATATTCAGGTTGTTAGACACGCAGAGGCAGGAACATGCAATCCTTACCAAAAGAAAACTCAGGTAATAGGAAGAGGTCCAGCAGTGAAGAGATGAGGGAGTTAGCAGAAAAGGACTTTATTTTTCTTGAGACAGGGTCTTGCTCTGTTGCCCAGGTTAGTGTGCAGTGGCATGATCATAGCTCACTGCAGCCTCAACTTCCTGGGCTCAACAACTTGAAATTGAAGTGGGGAAAAATGCAGTTTACCATAATATACATTAAAAAAATGAAATACTTAGGGATAAACTTGACAAAAGATACCTAAGAGCTTAATATCAAAAACTACAAAGCATTGCTGAGATAATTTAAAGAAGACCTAAGTAAATATGTTAATGATCAAAAGACTCATTGTTAAGATGTCAACTTTGCTTTAATTTATCTCTATATTTAAAGCCATCTTATTGAAAATCCCAGCAGCCTTTTATGTCAAATTAACAAATCGTGTCTACAATTTACGTGGAAATTGAAAGGACCCAGAATAGCCATAACAACTTTGAGAAAGGAAAAAGTTGGGGGACTTAGACCACCTGATTTCTAGATTTATTTGAAAGCTATAGTAAGAGTGTTGTATTGGCACAAAGAGAAACATAATAGGCCAGCAGGGTGAAATGGAGAGTCCAGAGGCAGACACATGCAGGTGTAGTTGGTTTTGACATGGTTTTCACGGTGGCTCAGTAGGGGAAGGATAATCTTTTTACCAAATGGTGCTAGAGCAGTTGGCTGTCATATGCACACAAATGAACCTTGACTGTTTTTTTGTTTTATTTTGTTTTGTTTTTATTACAAAGATGTGGGGTACAATTCAGGGTTAGGTATACAAACATTGATTATGCAGTTAGAACCTTGACTGTTACCTTACACTGTATTCAGAAGTTTTCTCTTTGTAGATCGTGCATCTAACTCTAAGAGCTAAAGCTATAAAACTTCTGGAGGAAACATAGGATACTATTTTGGTGACCTATGTTTTGGCAAAAAGTTTTAAAATTAAACACAAAAGGCATGAACTACAGAGGAAAAAAAATTTCGAGTAAATGGAACTTCATCCTAAATTTAAATATTTGATTTCCCAAGATACTGATAAAATGAAAATGCAAGCCACAGACTAAGAGATAATATTGGCAAAGTATATATCTGATGAAGGACTTTATCTACACTATGTAAAGACCTCTTAAAATCTAATAATAAAACAATAAATAGCCCAATAAAAATAGGTAAAACATTTGAACAGACACTTTACTAAAGTACTTTACTGAAGATACTTTACACTGCTGGTGGAAATGTAAAATCATGTTGGAAAACAATTCCACAGTTTCAGAAAATGTTAAGCATATACCTAATATACATTTAGCCATTTCACTCCTCGGATTTACACTAAATAAATGAAAGGCTGTGTTAATTCAGAGATTGTACATGAGTGTTCATAGTTTTATTTGTAATAGCCAAAAACTAGAAACATCCCAAATATCCATTAAAAATAGAATGAATGAACAGATTGTGGTAAATCCATACAATGGGATACTACTTAGCAATAAAAAGAAGAAACCACTGATACATGTAACAAGCTGGATGAATCCCAAAAGCTGAATGAATCCCAAAATGACGATGCTGTGCCTGTGGTCCCAGCTACTTGGGAGGCCAAGGCAGGAGGATTGTGT